GAGAGAGAGAGAGAGAGAGAGAGAGAGAGCTCGGTGACGCGGGCCAGGCGGATGCTTACGCAGCATCAGCGAGCCTTTGCGACGCGTGTGTAGATGCGACGCCAGCATGTCGATTGCAGTTACGAGTACTGGTTCGGCCCCTCTTTGACCACAGCACGCGTTGGAGCAGTTCACAGCTCGAAGCCACTTTGGCCGGGGGGACCTGTGCCATAATCCCAACTACGCTTGCACAGGCCCATGGTTGCGAACGGCGGTTGGTCGTCTGCTCTGCACTGGTGTCGGGCCTGCTGCACGCTGCTGCTCACCAGGCTGCCATCCGGTCGTCGCTACTACACACACGAGAAGCGCACGTCGATATTTGGGGCCACACATTAGTACGACTTGATTCGCGCGATCCACTACCACTACTCGGACTTGCTCTTGTCCTTGCCAGCGGTGAGAGGCGACCAGAGATGCTGCAACCATGCGTCCTCGAACGCCTTTCTGCCGAACATGGTCTGTGCTCTGGCGCGCGCGTTGGCTCGGATGCGCTGTACCTGCAGCGAGTCTGCATCGAGCATGTGCATGATCTGCGCCAGTGTCTCTGCGTACTCGTCCACATCGCGTGCATGCCACCCGACGCCCTCTGACTTTTCGACCGCACCTTGCTGCGCAGGCAGATTGACCGACGGCGTGGCGATATCCAGCCACGGACCTGCCGATCTATGGCTGAGCGTAAGCAGGCCGGCAGCCATGAATTCGACGACGTTGATGCCAAAGTGTTCGTCCTTCATGGTGCTCAACCCGACGCCTGCGCGCGCGAGGTGGCTGACGATGGTCGGATAGTCGGCATTGACTACAAACTGCACATGCGCATCGATTCGCAGCTGCTTCGCCAGACCGCGCAGCATCTCGATGCGCGCCTCGTCCGCCTCGTTGCGCGATGAACCCATCATGACGAGCTTCACCGCACCATCGCCCGAAAACAGCTGCGGCTGCAGGTCGTACAGCGCTTTGAGCACGCGCAGCTGCGTCGGATGCTCCTTCTCCGGCCGAAATTGCGCCAGACTCACAATCGTGCGTGGCTCCGCCCGGGGTTCGAGCGCAAACTTGGTCAGCTCCTCGGTATCGCACGGAGGATAGACGAGGTGCACGTCGTGTTTGGCGCCGAGTAGGGTCTTGAGGTGGGCCTGGGTCCAGGAGCCGTTGGCGACGAGCGCATCCGCGTGGCGCAACGCCCAGCTGTACAGCCGTGCAAAGACGCGGTAGTAGACCAACTTGACGCGCGAGCGCAGCTTGCTATTGGCGGTAGCTGCGTCGTTGGTATGGCCCGCCTGCCTGTTCTGCACGCGGCGCAGCATGTCGGTGCTGATGATCGGATAGTGCACGTAGGCGCCTGTGCGCACTTTGCGATCGATGAGCTTGAGCGCCACATAGGAGAAGGCATAGCCCATCGTATCCACATACACGTCCGGCACGAGCTGCGACAGCGCCTCAAACGCCAGCCACACCGAGCCGTAACTCTGTCCAAGCAGCGTCCAGCTCTTCCACGCACCCTCCTCGACCATCCACCGCCGCTTGAGCCCCACCATCGCTACGCGGCCGGCGTCGAGGCTGATGCCGAAGCGCGTCGACGCCTTGGCGAGGATCTGCTCCTTGGACGCCGCGGGGAAATCGCCCGTGTAGATGACAACCACGGCGCGGGGGTCGCGCGCGAGGTGCAGCGCAGCCGCTTCGTACAGCACGCGCTCGCCGCCGCCGCCCGCGTTGCAGTACGGATGGAAGAAGCCGATGATCGTGCGTGCCAGCTGGTCCGCAGCGAGCTCCGCCTTCTCGTCGATGCCCAGCTCGCCGAGCAGCTTGCGTCGGCGCGTGCGGTTGGTGCGATGCACGCGCCGCAGCGCCTTATCCGCCACCTGCACCGCGCCGACGGTCACGGAAAAGAGGATCAGGAACAGCGGCAGAAAGATGGGCACGAGTACCGACTTGAGCGTGGCCCCCAGCGAGTCGGTGCGCTCGTACACCACTGTCGTCGCCGCAGGATCGTACGCTGGTTTGCCTGCATCAGGCTGTGGTGTCGAGGACGCACGCACAGACGCGGGCATCATGTACAAGAACACGCCGACGAGCAGCAGCGTATACGCCGACCCGGACAGCCCGCGCGCCGAAGTAAGTGCATCCACCATAGTCCGCTGTTGCTTTGTTGATCTCGACCTGGTAACCCGCGCCGGCTCCGACCTGAGTCTTCCAGCAATGTAGAGGTAGCTGTCGAGCATGAGCCAGAGCGGCAGTGCGACCCAGACGACGTTCATAAACACGAGGTAGAGCCAGAGGAGCAGCCAGTTGCTCGTGTCGAGCTGCGCGCTGCCTGCGAGCCATTCGGGTGCAAACGTCATCCACCCACCGTAGATCTCGCCTGCACTGAGCACGGTGACCCAGTAGTAGTACGTCGGGTCGTCCTTGGCCAGCAGCCATGCGCAGTACCCCGCCATGGGCCCGGCGACGAGCACGGTGAGGAACTCCATGGATACAAGCGTAGGGTCTGCTGTGCCCCAGCGTGCATCGGCGGCAGCGTACTCCTGCCAGAGGAAGCCGAAGAACGATTTGGATGCGTTGACGGTGCGCCCACGCACCGAGAGGTAGAGGAAGGATCCCTCGAGCGTGAGGTGGCAGATGGCGTCAAAGGCGAGCCAGAGGAAGATGAGGCGCGTCTTGCGCGTGGCGGTGGATGCGAGGAGCGCGCGCCCGGCGAGGTGCGCCGCGAGCACCATCGCACATACGTAGCTGAGCGACAGCGCCGTCTGCACGTTGAGCAGCCGGTCCATTTTTGGGTCAGCCGACACAGCGCAGCCGTGGTGGAAAGAGGGGTTGTTGGTGGTGGTGTGAAGAAGCAATTGATGCGAGTGGAGTGCAAGAAAAGGGTCCGTGCTGCCGCGGGGTTCGGAATTCCAGCCTTTTCGTCCGACCTCAACGCCGCCCCACCGTCTTGGGCTCAGATGTTGTCTCTCGTACTAGGCCGTGGATGACACACATTCGTGTCTCTGGGAGACGAAAACGTCGGCTCAGGGTATCTGACGTTGACATGTGCTACAGCTACGCGATCCAGCGCAGCGACTCGAGCACCCTCTGCTGCAAGAAGTGCGTCTCTGGCTGCTTCTCTGCGCTGTGGTCCGCCTCACCCACCGCAATAGCCGTACCTTCATGGCTGCACTGCTCGCTCTCAGCCTGTGCGCCCCCCACGTGAGCGGCATAGCGTTCCATGATGCGTTCGCGCGCGCGCAGTCTGCACCTCGGGCAGAACTTGACGCAACCCGCCGAGTCGGCAAAGCGCACGCCGGCTGCCTCGGCTGCAACGTCTTCGTCGGCGATGCTGCACGTGGGTACGCTGACTCCGAGTTCAAGCTCGATGAGGTTGCGCCTGCGCATCGGACAGTCGCCCACACGCAGCCTCGTCAGGTTGACGCGCGTGTTTCCGGTGGTGAGCAGCATGCTGAGCGTCTGGGGCTGGAGCGACTTGTTCGCGCCACCGAGCAGCGTGAGGCTAGCGAGATTGGGCAGCGAGCTGAGCATCCTGGCCGTCGCCACGTCGTAGCAAAAGTTGCCCAGCCGCAGCGAGACGAGTCTGCTGCTCCATGCGGCGACCCCAGCATCGGCGGGCCTGAGCGCTCGCAGGAAGGAGTGGTGCGGCGCAAGCAACCAGCACGACTGCGTGATCCACTCGAGATGGTGTGGCTGAAAGTGCGTAAAGAACTCGACCGCCTCGGCCACTGCGTCGCCGGGGAAGCGCACACGCAGGCTGCGCACGCGCGACGACGGCTGCCCCCCGCCGGCACTCGTCTGGACGCGCGAGACGAGGCGTGCAAGCCGCATGGCCTGCTTCCAGTCGATGCGCGCCGAGTAGACGTCGAGTGCGCGGATGTACTGCGCATAGTGCGGGTGCGCCTCGAGCGTGGACAGCGCACACGAGAGCGAGAGGCGCGATGTGAGCGTGAGGTGCTCGTACAGGTGGCGCACGCCCGTGCGGCGGAAGAACGAGTTGGCACACAGCACATCGGCGACGCTTCCAGATGCGGTGCTGTTCTGCGCATGCGCGAGCGCAAAGGCGATGACCAGCGATTGCAGCTCGTCCGGCAAGCAGCTGAACGGAAAGCTGTCGGCGTCGGAGGCGGACGGTGGAGGCGCACTCACACTCGCGCTCATGGCGATGCGGTTGGCGGTGGAGGAGGCCGGAGCAGCGTTCAAGGGTTCACATGGGCACGAGCTGCGTGATGGGGTGTCGTGGTCATGGAGGTTGGCGGGAACGGTTGGCGTTGGCAGCGGAGCTGGTCGAATAGAAGGCGAGCAAGTGGGGGCGATTTTGTGCACAATGTGAGATCGATACGTCAAACACAATCTGAGCAGGCGCGCGCGTGTTGGACGGGAGAGCAACACTTGAAAATCGGCATCACGTGGATCGCGACGCGCGCAGTGGGAGTTGGTGTTGGCGCAGTGCGGCTCGTGCTGCTGAACCAGCACCACCACCACCACCATCCCAATATCCGCACACACCATGTCTCGATCCAGACAAGCGTCCGGGCCGACTCCCACCACGCCGCTGCGCCGCATCTCGCGCGGCTCGCTCAACGCGCTCTCGCACTCGGCGTCCAAGCAGCTCGCCGCCGGATCCACGCCGCTCTCGTTCCTGCAGGGCGCGATGAGCGACCTGGCCGAGGAGGTGGGCGTGCTCAAGCTCAACCTCGAGAGCATCGAGGCGGTGCACGACAGCCTGCACAGCTTCAACGAGAACTTCGCCATGTACATGTACGGCCTCAAGATGAACGCCTACTGCGTCGAGTGGCCCGAGGCGCCGCTGGCGGACAACTTTGAGCGTGCCGAGAAGCGCATCGCGCAGCAAGCGCAGCAGTATGCGGCGCAGCACGACCTCGATATGGCGCTCTCCGCTCAAGGGTATGCGGGCGGTGCGGGCGAGACAGTCAATCCGGCTGCCGACCAGACCTACGTCACCACCGACGACGAGAGCATCTACCGCACCGATGCGGCGCCCATCGTGACTGCCAACGCCCCAGCCGCCAAACCGGCGCTCAAGTCGGCACTCAAGAAACCCGCCACAGCAGCTGCCAAGAAGCCCGCGGCACCTGCTGCTGCGGCGGCGGCGGGAGCCAAGCCCAAGATGACGCTGGCGCAAAAGAAGAAGCGCGAGGCATATACCGACGAGATCATCGAGACGCTACCGCTCGAGTACCGCGGCGGGGGCAACGATCCAAAGCAGAATGCGATGGCCAAGCACGTATGCATGGCGCTCATCGCCGCGGGCGCCAAGGGGCTGCGCATCGCCGACATCGTCAAGAACCCGGAAATGTCGCAGGCCAAGATCAACAAGACGCTCATCGCGCTCGTCGCCGCCAAACACGTCGTCAAGGCGAGCAACAACGTGCGTTTCGCTTCCGCCGCTTCCGCCGCTTCCGCCGCTT